GCGGGGCCCGCCGCGTCCGTGCTGCTGTTGCTGCTGGCGCTGAGCGTGGTGGTGGTGCGCTCCCGGGCCGGGCGCCTCCAGGGCCGAGGCTGGTGAGCGCCCTGGGAGGCAGGGCTGGGGATGGGGGCAAAGGGACCCTAGACTGGCCCTGCCTGACCGCGCGGAGCTCCCACGTAGGTACTGGGACCAGGACAGGAAATGGTTCGAGATCTGGGATGAGGACACCGTGGGGACGTTTTCAAGTACGGGCTCTGAGAACGACAGAATCGGTGAGTCCTGCCTCCTGGGGAAGGATTAGGGCTTCCCTGAGCATCCCTGAGAGGACAGGCAGATTCCTCATTTCTTCATGCCAGCGGACTTGTGTCGCAGCGTCCCTGCGTCTCCTGAGGAAGGCCCATTCCTTCATAGGTCATCTCTGCAGGGCTGCAGCAGGCACCTGAGGCCTGAAGCCCTGCCCTTCCTCACGGTCCCCCTCCCTCACCCCCGTTTCTCTCTCTCTCTAGGCAAGCACGAGAACTTCCATGTGGCCTTGGAGAATGTGGATACCAATGTGAGGGTGAGGGTGCAAAGGAGGAATGCTAGAATCTGGCAGACCACCCCCCACCAAAGTGGAAGTGGGATGGGGAGGGGGCTGGGCTAAGGCCAGAAGGCAGTGACCTCCTAGTCAGCCCAAGTAGGGGGCCCCTGTTCTTCCTCACTGTATTCTCTGTGACAGGTGCAAGTCCAGAGACCTGAGGTGGCCGGATCCTTGCATTGAGCCCTTTGGTTCAGGTCACCAACCCTTCCACCCTGCCCAGGACACCAGGAGGGAGCCAGCTGCTCTGCGTCCATTTCAAGAGGTGGCCCAAAGATGTGTGCAGTCTGACTCCTGATGTCCTTGGGTAAAAGGAGACGGTTTCCTGACTTCTCCCAACGTGCCTGAAACCCACCTGGAGACACAGTTCCCATCAGGCTTTCTTCCACGGTGGGACTGTGAGCGAGTCAGCAGCTTCTTTGGAGCTGGTATAACATGGTCATCCTGATACCGTGTTTGGTTCTTGTGGAAATCTCTTGTGTTTGATGAATTCTCTGGCCCAGCCCACCTTCTGCCCCAGCCCTTGAGTTGACACCGTGTCTCTCAGACACCCCAATCGTCATATCCTTCTCCCGGTCTCAGGTCCCGTTCCCTGTTCACACCCTTGCTGCCTGTTCCTTGCTGGGACCTGTAGCCCATCCACTTCCTGCCCTCTTCTTATGCAGCTCCTTGCCGTGTCCTTGCTCTTATTCCTAACACCTTCTCCCCTTCTGAGCCCACTCCTCAAACCCGACCTCCCCCTTCCCCATCCCTGATTCCTTACCTTTCTCCTTGCCTCCTGATGCCTCAGCCCGAAACCTTCCCTCCTCCCACATTCTTGTCCCCAGCTGGATGCAGGCCCCTCTTTCTCAGGAGCTACCACCCTGAGGCCCCACCCCTTCTTCTCTCCCCAACGGCTCTGGGTTCCCATGGGTGGAGGTGGGGCACGGGTTTCTGCAGGTGCCAAGGATAAGGGGAAGTGGGGCTTAGGTGAGGGAGCCCTCTTGGTTCTTTTCTTTCCCTTAATCCTTCCTCCCTCCTTCCTCTCCCTTCCCCTACAGTTTCACCCTGCCTCCTTCCTCTTCCCTCTCCCTTCTCCTCCTGCCCCCTCTCCCTGGTGCCATCCCCACCCCTGCAGTTACCTCTGAGCTCCAAAATCCTCAACATCCTTTGCCTGGAAGAGCTGGTTTGGGTCAAGAAGTCTTCAGTTCTCCATGTGAATACAATATAGCACTGATCATGACAGAAGTTGCTGTGTGTCTTCCTCCTTTTCACCCTAGTCGTCTCAGGTTGGTTGGAGAACAGGGCAATTACGAGGAGGTGATGTAGGAGGGCCTGGGGAGCACCCATTTCTCCCAAGGAGGGGTCTGTGGAGCACACAGGGGCCATGACTGTCTTCACAGAGAACAGAGAGATTGGGGCTGGGGAATTGGAACGCCATTTGCTGAAGAGTGGGTGGGGCAGGGGGCTTCTCCACCAGCAGCAGGTGGGGCTGTGGGTTTTGTCATCTGTACGTTTCCCCTTCAATGCTGGGAGCTTAGGGCAGAGGCTCTGTGCCGAGTCAGAGAGGTGTGTGCCCACTCTGGTTCTGCCTGGGCTGGGTCCCTTGTGCACAGAAGGTTAAAGCTGGGCCTCCCCAAAGACCCTGAGTGTCTCCCGTCTCTGACTGCAGACACGAGATCACTCCAGGGCCCGTTGGAGCTGGGGCGGAGGCATTCC